GTGGGTGCTAGCTTCTAAACCAGACTTCCGGTTTTATTCACACCACTTTCTCCTGGGTTTTTTTTGCCACTCCCAGCATGGGGTGAGGTGACCTGGCAGCTTACAATGAGGAGCCTGTCGGATCTATTGACCCAATTCCTGACAGGCTGCCAGGAACGGGGATGAACACTTTTTGCCGGCTTCTAAGATCCTAAGGACCCATCTGAGCCTATGTGTAGGCCAAGCAATGGTAAAATCTAAAGGCTATTGGGTGTCTCTCTGTTACACTAGCTTAGCATCATAGGCCTTACTTGCATTGCTGCCCAAAATCCTCAAATATCCCAGACGTTGGGTGGAATGACTATGCTCACCATGCATTCAATGAGCTCAGGGAAAAGCATAGACAGCCAGAAAGTACCAGGTGGGCTTGAATCAGAAGCCAGAGAGTAACTGCCAGGTCTCTCACTTCCTCTCTGTTTCTGTCCCCAAGGCTCTTGGCATAGATCCCCTGATCCCCAAGAAGTTCCCCGTCCCCTACTCTCTTTCTTTCTCTCTGACAAGAACTCCTGTAGCCCAGGCTGGCTTTAAATTCTCTATGTAGCTGAGAATGACCTTGAATTACTCTTGATCCTTTTGCCTCTACTTCCAGCATGTTGAGCTTACAGACAGGTGTCACCATGCTGAATGTGACGCATGCAACAGGAGTTTGAACTCGGAACCTTGTACATGCTAGGCAAGCATTCTACTAATTGAGCTATATCCTTAGTCCCTCCTCCTTTTTTCTAAGCTAAAGAAAAGACTGACCACAGGTGCAAAGTGGTAGCAAAGGCAATGTGGGCCTTGGGCATTCCTGGAGTCCCATTCAGAAACTTTTACTCCACAAACCTTTTTATACAGAGGGGAATAAAAAGTCCTGTCTCTCTTACAACTATTTTATATAATCAAAGGAGCCAATAAAGAAGGCATAGGCGTGTGTGTGTGTGTGTGTGTGTGTGTGTGTGTGTGTGTCTGTGTGCATGAACAAATACTTACACATACACAGCAGTGGCCTGGGTAGCTGGCAAATAGACCTCCTGTTCCCCATGTCTAGTGTCACACATAGCCTCGGTGACCACATTACCCAATCAAAAGTGAGGGCACACAGATTGCCCAGTGCAATGGTCTTTGAGGGAATAGCATACCAATAATGAAACTGATGCCACCCCCATGAGACACAGAGGCTGCTCCCTAACAATGGGACAGTTACACTCTGGGGACAGGCTCAAATCCTCTGATAGAGACCATGTTTTGTCAAGCGTGCAGGCCTGGATAATGTAAGCCCAGACTTCACAGTCACCCACAACCGATTAAGGATTAGTGTTAGCACACTTAGTTTTAAATCTGCTCTCATGGATGATCTGGTACTCCTGCAACATTAAGTGAAAGAAAGTTAGAGCCCAGGTCAATCATGGCGATTCAGGTTCATAATCCCCGTACTCGGGAGGCTGAGGCAGGAGGACTGAAGGCTCGAGGACAGGGCAGTCTGTGCTACACACTAACACTCTTGAAGGGGTGGGGAGAGACCTGAAATTACATCTTGTTTTAGGGGCTCCTGTGGTGTATATTACATACTAATTGGACCAGACAAGGGTGCAGTTTGGTGGCCCTAACAAACTTGAGGCCCTGTGTTTAATTCTAGATACTGCATCTCCCCACCGCCCAAGTAAAAAAATTACCTCTTCTTAAAATACTTAGTGGGTAGAGATAAAAGAAACTGTGGATTTGAGCGACATCAATTCAGCATCATTCCTCCCAGGAACTCAGTGTTGGGACAGAGATAAGGGAGGGGATGCCGTGAAGTGCTCGGGCTACTAATTTGCCTTGAGACACATAGGGAGGGATCGGTAAGCCCAAGACTCGGGGTCCGGAGGATGATTAATTGGGGGTAGGCTGGCTTTACTTTTCAATTGCTGTAGAACAAAGTAGTCTAGTTTAGCCACTTAAGAGGACAATAATACTCTTAGTTTCTATGTGTCAGGGACCCAGCTTAATTGGATTCTCTGCCCAGGGTCTCACTAAGTGCTTTGGACTGCCTTCATCCCTGGAGTTTGGGGCTGTCTTCCAGGCTCATATGATGGTTGGGAGAATTCAGTTTCTTCCATATAAATCATTAAGTCCTTGGATTTTATTTATTTATTCATTCATTTAATTGGCTTTTTTTTTTTTTTTCCTGAGTCAGTCTTCAGGCTGGTCTGGATGACACTGAACATCCAGTTCTGCAGCCTCCAGCTCCCAATCTTAGAATTGCAGGCATGCACCAATACTCCTGGATTCTGTAGGGTTTTATTTTTTATTTTTTGCTTTTCCTGTTGTTTAGGTTATTAAAACGGGATCTCACCCTGTGACTCAGGCTGGCTTCAACTCATGATTCTCCTGGTTCAGCCTCCCTACTGCAGAGATATCCGTGTGCACTGTCTTGCATGACTGGGTCCTTGTTTTGCTAGGTGTCAGTAGGGACCACACTTAGCACCTAGAGTTGCCTCTGAGTCCTTTTTCTGTGGCTCCTCTATAGGCCCCGTCGCATCTTGGTGGCTGACTTCCTCAAGGCCACCGGGAAATTGGTTCTGACTTCAGGAAGAGTCCCAGGACCTCATCTGATTAGCTGAGACCCAGATAATCTCCCCCTGGATTAACCCCAAGTCACCTGATTAGGGGCCTTCATTGTATCAGTAAAGCTCCCTTGCCATAATCCAGAGCATGAGGCCCTATTAAACTACCCTCAAGGGGAAGAGATTAAATGTGTGTACCAGAGGCAGAAATCTTGGCAGCCAGCTGAGAGTCTACTAGGACCAGGAGGGAAGACAACTGTCAGGGAAAGTGAACTTTTCTTTCTTTCTTTTTTTTTGGCGGGGGGGGGGGGGGGGGGGGGGGGGTTGTTGGTGTTTGTTTTTCGAGACAGGGTTTCTCTGTAGCTATGGAGCCTGTCCTAGAACTCACTCTGTAGACCAGGCTAGCCTTGAACTCACAGAGATCCACCTGCTTCTGCCTCCCGAGTGCTGGGATTAAAGGCGTGTGCCACCCACCACTGCCTGGTAGGAGTCAGCTTTTCTATGTACATTGTAGAATGAATTTTTTAAAGATTTTAAGGTTTATTTTTATTTCATGTATAAGAGAAGTGGCTCTCAACTTGTGAGTTGCCACCCCTCAGGGTGAGGTCAAATGACCCTTTTACGGGGGTCAAATATCAGATATCCTACATATCAGATATTTACATTATGATTCATAACTGTGGCAAAATTACAATTACAAAGTAGCAATGAAAATAATTTTATGGTTGGGGGTCACCACGCGTGGGGAACTCTTTAATAAAGAGTCAACCATTAGGAAGGTTGAGAACCACTGTGTAAGAGTATTTGCCTGCGTGTGTATATGTGCACCACATGTGTGCCTGATGTCCTGTGAGGCCAGAGGGCATTTGAACCCCTGGAACTGGAGTTACAGATGGTTGCGAACCATCAGGAGGGTGCTGGGAACCGAACCTGGCTGGTCCATTAGAGCAGTCAGGGCGCTTAACCACTGCGCCACTTCTCCAGCACCTGAAGAATGAATTTAAACTCCCTAGGCTACCAAGGAAAGGGAGTGGGAGGAGGGGTGGGGAGGATTAAAGAGAAGATGGAAGCCAAGGTTGCTCCTGAGCAAAGGGGATGAAGGAGCAGGATGAAGGACGGATGATATATTCAGCAGCAATGTGGCTTGAGAGAGGCTGGTGTCCAGCTGTAAAGTGAGGGGCTACGGAAAGGGTAGGCGGAATTCTGGGTCCATTTCCCTGCTTTTTCGGTTAGTGTTTGTCCTCTAGGCTGACGGAGGAAGACAGTCCCACAGCAGGAGCTTCACTTTGAACTTTCCCTCACTCCATTTCTCTACCCTGTCTGCAGCCCAACTCTCTGCAGGGCTACCGAGCTCACCCACCAGGCGGACCATCACAGCTCTGTGGGTCTACAGAGATGCATATCCATGTTCATATCTTACAAACGGGAGACGAGCTTTGTCCACCGAGTCAATGTGTTGGTTGTGTGGAGAAGCCAGAACATGGGCAGATGGGAGAGGATTAGAAGACGCCAGGGATCTCGGTCGATCTATAAAAAAAATAAAGTGCTAAGCGGGAAGTGAGGAGGCAGTGTATCTGTGAGGGGTCCCAGAGTAGCTATAAGGTTTGGACAAGAATGGAAAGGGGCGTACCAAAAGTGAGGGGTTTTTGCTGATCAGATCTCTCTCACCTCACCTCCTCTTTCTCTCTTCTCCCTCCCTCTCTTCCTCTCACTTTCCTTCCCCACCTCTGATCTCCCTTTTGATATAGGACCTAATTCTATATCCCGGGCCAGATGGCCTGCAACTCACTATGTAGCTTAATCAGGTCATTTTTACTGCTAAATTACTAATTAAAAATGGGAAATCCCAGCCAGATGGTGGTGGGGTTATGCCTTTAATCCCAGCACTCAGGAGGCAGAAGCAGAGGCAGGTGGATCTTTCGAGGCCAGCCTGGTCTACAGAGTGAGTTCCAGGATAGCCAGGCCTACACAGAGAAACCATGTCTCAAAAACAAAAACAAAAACAAAACCCTACATATTATTGATCACATGTGTATTGTTTTGATTTTGAAAGCTGATATTAAACAGTCCTTGGAATCCACAGTCATATAGCCAGAATTTTTGTGGTTATGGGCATGGATCAATAAATCATGTGAAATAGTTAAATATATTTAAAAGAGGCCCAGAGACAGGCAGTTCCCCCAAATACATGTGTAATAGTAGACTTCCAGAGACTATATTACAGGATGCTGGCACGTGCTTCCCCTGTACTAAGTCTGGGCTTCAAACCCCAGCAGCCAAGACAGAGCCCAACAACAACAAATGAGTAACCCCCAACTCATCCTGTATAGTCTGTGCTGTTTTTCTGGTCTCTAGGGTCAGCCACGCTCCCTCCCTGGAGGTGATGCCTCGTCCTCAGCGATGGAAGTAACAAGCCCCGTATTTATTTTCTAGGTTCTGTGCTTCCTTCTTTCAAGATGAACAGAAATCATGTCCCTGCTGGAGCTGGACAGCATTTCTGCCTATCACACCTGTGAGCAGTGTTTATGGCTTCCAGACAAGGTCAAAGCTGCAAAGCCTACATGACAGCTGGGCTGCCTTCCCCAGCCCAGTCTCTCCCCTCGACTTGTTGGCACGGTCTTTCAACCTCCAGATTGCGTGTGTTTGGTTCAGTTGAAAACAAAACAAACCACAGTCACACTTCACCTTTGCTTGTCTGTTTTGCAGAATGAAGCTTCCAAGGGGCCGGCCTTCACCCTACCTGGCTCAGAGAACAGTAGTGTGGGGGGTCAGTGAAAAGGAACTGCAAAGTAGACTTGGGAGCTGGCATGAGGGCTGACTTCCTTCCAATAAGCCTAAAACATCTTTGCACAATCCCACAGAGCCAAGCTCCTTGCCACCAGCTCCTAGGTCAGTCATTTGACATGCTGTCCTTAGAGCAGGCCTCTACATGGTATGCATTTCCACTAGTGAACACACACACACACACACACACACACACACACACACACACACACACGACCTCTGTCTGGTGACAGATTGGGGTCTGAAAGCTCTGGCAGCCTGCGTGGCTGATGGCAGAATGTTGAGTCTGTTCTGTCTCCCTGGAGTCCCTCTGCACACGCAGGTGCACGTCAGCGCCTGCTCTAATTTTATCCCTGGCTGATGGAGGAGACTAACTGAGCAGCAGGAAAGAGGCTATTTTGGGTCTCTCTGCAGCTCTGGGTTATATAAAGCCTATCACCGTGACCTGCATTACTTTGAGGCTGAGCCTCACTCTCTTGCGCATTCTGTCACAATATGTCATCAACACACACACACAGACACAGACACACACACACACACACACACACACACACACACACACACACACACACACAGGGCTCTTGGGGAACGAGAAGGGAGGTGTGTACTGAGGAGTGTGTGTGCGCGTGAATGTTCCTGCCAGCTTGCATATACTATCTGGTGAGGGCATTGTAAGTGAAGGAAGCTCATTCTGGAAGGAAATGGAAAGATCTTTCTGATGGAGAAACGTGAGGGTCCGTGCTTTCAGCTTTAGGACAGAGTGTTTGTGAGCCGATGTTGAGGATCTGCTGTTGGCATGGTGATAAGAATAATTTCTATTTTGGTAACTTTTCATTTTAAAGGAACCTAAGGGGCTCGTGAATTATACACAAATGGTTCTGCATTGGAAAGGCAAGACTTTTTTATCTGACATTAGCAGCAGCTGCTGCGTGAGCAAATGTGATCGTCCTGTTTAGAGATGGGCTGTGGCAGAAGAGGCCCACACCCATGGAGATAACCTCACCTGGAAAGTTTCTCCTCATAGGCCAAAGCACCCCTTACTCTGCAGGGAACATGACCGCCTTGCTAAAGAGCCCCACTGGTTTGATTTAATCATATTCCACATATGATTTGTCTTCAGATTTTCTCTGAGATTGCATCTTTTATTTTTAGATATATATATATGTTTTGATAGATGAACATACCACAGACCCTTACGAGAACATCCTTGAAAGTACTAGGTTTCTCCAAGTGTGTGCCGTTCACACGGAACAGGAGTGATAGGGCTCAAGGAGTTTATGCCCCGGGCATCTGTCCTTCTCATTTCTAGCAGGGTGAGGAGACATCCCGTTCTCAGTGAGCCACATGTTTCCCGTATATAATCCCCATGGGTACATTCTGGGTGACATGATGGAACCCATAAAGTATTGCCCGGGGGAATGCAGACTTGGCAGGTCTGAACCTTGGCTGTGGGAACTGCCAGAACGGGAGGCCCAGGGCCAGGACTCCCACAGTTGATTTGGTTCCCGTCACTTGCAGCAGCTGTGGCCATGGAGTTCCCATAAGTCGTAACTTGAAGGCTGCACTGCTTCTTAGCTGCCCTTTGAGAGGAGCTGATCCTGCTCCCACTTGGCCAAAGTGCTTCCAAGGGATTTTGGAAAGAAAAGCTTGAAGCTTTCCACGAAGAAAGCCAGGGGAATCCAGCAGTTAGCTACAGAGGGCAGAAAGGGGATGGGCCTCTCAGAGAATTCTAGTGAAGAGAGCCGCTAAGAGAAGGAGGAAAGGGAAATGAACCAAAATCAAAGACAGAGTTTTCAGGGGCCGGATGGGGAAATGAAGCCAGGAATGGGGAAGGTACAGATGAATCACTGTGTGGCTTATTAATAACGGCATTGGATGGAATTTTCTCACTTGTACCCTCCTTTCCCCCTTTTTCCAGGCTGGGAGGGAGCAGCTCACTATCCTGCCTCCTTGGCAGTCTACTTGATGCCTTCGGGTCTACGCCTGCCCATTTGTCAGTCTCAGTCTCTCTCTGTTTCTGTCTCTGTGTGTATGTGTCTCTCTTTGTGTCCCTGTCTCCTCTCTCCTCCTCCCTTCCTTCTTTCCTCCCTCCCTCCATCTCTTTGTTTCACTATATAGCACAGACTGGCCTCGAACTTACGATCCTCCTGCCTCATCGTCTTTATTTCTGGGTCAGAATGTCATTTCTAACACATAGGTCTAGACTGACAGTCAGACACGGCCTTCTGACTAAGTCTTTAGTTTATTTTTTTTATTGTATTTTTTTTACAAGATCTCACTCTACATATCCCTGGCTGGCCGGGAAATGCTCTCTAGGCCAAGCTGGCTTCAGTCTCACAGATGCACCTGTCTTTGCCTGCTGAGTGCAGGGATCAAAGCAAGCACGTAACATACCTGGCTCTGGCTTCATTTGCATAACCACCTTCCCAGGTCTTCCCTGTGGACCAACCCCCTTTCTCCAGGCTTCTCCTGTAGAAGTCCAAGCTGTGACTTCTACAGCTGAGTGCTTGCAGACTCTTGTCCTCTGTGTGTTTTTATGGGCTGTCCCATCTCCCCAGAATGTCCTTCCTGATGTTGTTGCTGTTGATGCTAGCTGTGTTTGTGTAATACGTAGCCCAGGCTAGCCTCAAGCTTGTCATTCTCTTACTCAGTCTCCCAAATATTAGCATTAAGGTGTGAGTTATCATTTTTTTCCTGGAAAAGTTCCTCATTTTTTTTTCCTCCAGATATTGACCCAAGCAAGTTGTTTTGACTCCTCCTGCCCTGGATCAGATGTCTCTCCCCTGGAACATTTGTTCACCTTTGCCTGAGTTGCTTAACTGCCCTGCAGTCCACCTAGACCATGGGTGTCTGGAAGACTGGGATCATGTCCAGTGGCCCAGCACTCGGGCTACCCAGCAAGTATCTGTTGAATGAATGACTGCATGGGGCAAAACCCACATTTCAACACTAAAGCTTCCTCTGGGTCACAGATATTCGAGGGGGACTTGTGGGCAATGTCAGTATGGTGGAAGAAGGAAGGCCAACTCCTGGGGAATCTAAGAATAGAAGCAGTAGTCCTGAGTTATCTGCCTCCAAAACCTAAACAGAGGGACAAAACAGCTGTGGTCCATTGCTGCACCACCCAGGTGAGATGCTGAGTAAGATGACTCATGTCACCAGTCAGTAACTGCCTTCTGGACCCCATTCCAACCCATTTGTGGAAGTAGAGCATATAACTCGCACATGGACCTCAGTGTCCTTCCCAAAGAATGCCAGACCCCCCACCATGCCAGAGTCCAAACCAGCTGTGACCCTATCATGACCGTCAGAACTTACAGCCAGTGGATCTGTGATCTTAGGGACTGGGGAGCTGAAGCAGGAGGACTGTAAACTTAAGGCCTACCTGAGTGGCTTAGCAAGACTGTCTCAAAATAAAGAGTGTGTTTGGGGGGGCGGGGAGACAGGGTGTAGGGATGAAACCCAGTGGTAGAACTTGCCTAGCATGAGTGAGGTTCTGGGTTTAAGCTCCATTAGGTGGGTAGGCGGGGTGGTGAGAAGGTCGTATCTCCACTCACTGGCTGCCGTCTCTGCCCAGGTCAGTGAGGCTGACCTCAGCGACTGAGCATGGGAGAAAGTATGGAGCACCTAATGCTTGACCAGTTGCACCAAACCAGGGATCAGGGAGCTGAGGTGTGCTTCTGGAAAAAACCTGAAATAAGACCGGAGAAAGCCCCAACTACAAATCAGGTTTAAATGGTCTATTTAATTTAGGCCATTTAATTTAACCTCTGATACAGTCCTGGCAATACTTTTGTGATGGCTTATCATCAATTTGTGTGTGTGTGCATGCACATAAATATTATCCTAAGTCCTTTGCTCTTACACTCTGAGGGACTCTGAGATAATAGAATCATAGCGACAGCAACCCAGGAGTCAACTGGCTATGAGAAGGATGGGCATATAATTGGCATTTGGGTGAAATTTTTAAAAATTTCAACAGTTCCTTTTTAGGCTTATGAATCTTGACAGTCACCTTGCTTTGACGGAGAAGGAAAGAGAACAGCCTGTGTGATAGAGAGCCTTCAGGAGAGAAGGTGGAAAAGGACTTACCCTAGTCAGTGAGGATACTACAACAGCTGCAGTGGCTGGGATAGCTCCACTTGAATGAGATGACGCTGGGCCACTTAGGGAAAAGAGAGAAGATCCCGAAGATGACAAGGACCACAAGTCAGGGAGAGGACTTGGGACACACAGCAGGAGGGGATTAAAGGATTATGTGTATTGGGCCCCTGTTACCAGCACCCAGAAAGGCATGCACTTTAACTGCCAAGAAACTAATAATGAATTGGAACACCATCACTGTGCTCAACCTCTGTGCTATTTCAAAATCAGCTGTACACTGGCTTTGTAGGGCACGGTGGGTGAAAGCCAGTACAGGCTCTTGTGTTGTCATTTAATGATTAAAAAAAAATGTATGTGCTTATTTTGGTTTAGGGGGACAGGGTCTCAAGTCGCTGGCTTTGAACTTGTTATGCATCCAACACTGTCTTTGAACACCTGTGGGTTCTAGAATTGACGTATGTACCCCCCACAATGGGCAATCTGAACTTTATTTTTTTAAAGACAGGGTCTTACTACGTATGTTCAACTGGCCCAGAATTTGCTTTGTAGACCAGGCTGGCCTTGAACTCACAGAGATCGGCCTGCCTCTAGATCTAGCTGCCTCTGGTGGGATTAAAAGTGTAAACTAACACACCTTGCTCTCTGATCCTTTCCAGGACAGCTAGGCTACACAGAGAGACCCTGTCCCAGGGGTGGGGCTGAGGAGCAACTAACTTGCTGACATGCTAGCTGTTCTTTTGAATGTTCTACACCCATCGTTTCAGACAAACCTCACAGCTTTCCTAGGTAACCCTTTGCTAAATAAGTATGCACATCTCACTGGTGGGCAAATAAAGACATTGTGAGGTTAAATTACATGCCTAAGGCCACAGAGTTAGTGAATGGCAAAGCCAAGATTTGAAGGAAGGCAGTGTGGCTTCAGATCCCAAACTGGTAAGCACCACTCTATACTGCCTTTTAGTAGGCAATAAGCCTTTGGCATGCAAGGGGTGGATGGGTTCTACCCCAGTGTGGCAGAACGAGAGCAGCTGTGTGGAAATCCTGTATGAGCGTCAGCGACAGCAGACATCACCAAGAATGAAGGCCTATGAATCCAGGTCAACTATGTCATCCTCAAGACTTCACAACATCTCCACACAGCACTCAGGGTGAGTCTCACTTCTAGAGGCCACACCCTGAAGCTTTCAACAAGCACTCCCTTGACGTGCTTGCTCCGTGAATGTTCCTTGAGAACTTAGTCTGAGCCAGGCAAGCCACACTAGGCTCTGGAAATAAAAATCAGCCTGATACACAGTCCCTCCCCTATGTACCAGGAGAGATGATAGGTGGACACCCTCAACCAACGACGAATGACCTTAAGGCTCAGCAATACCCTAAGGCTGATGTCACCCATTGTCCATGTATCCTCTGAGGATTACTTTCTTTTTCTAGAAGTCTGGGGGCATCTTGGTCATCAGGTGAGTGGGCCCTCATCCCTTCAAGTCATCTGTGTCCTCGAATGTTTTTCAGACAAGAGCTTGAGCTTTTGGTTTTGTTTTTTTTTTCCCCCAGTTGGTGGGGTAGAGTGGAGGTACTGGTCTCATATAGCCCAGACTGACCTTGGACTTGCTATGTAGCTAAGGCTAGCCTGGAACCACTGGTCTTGCCACCTCCACCTTACACATATCCAACTACAGGCATGTGCCATTTCACCCAGCAAGAGCTTGACTGTCTTATCTAGAAAGTGATACGGAGTGATGTCAAAGATGATGGTCAGATGAGAGATAACTGTGAAGAGAATGTGTAACATGAGCCCACAGCGGGTTAGTTACATGTGTATAAACATGCATCTACGGCTAAACATCTAACCATTCAGTGACTTGGAACCTGGGCTCTGAAGTCGGACTATTTTAATTCTGTTAGTATTGTAACTTGACTCTTTCTGAGCCATACATTCGTTCTTTCTGTGTGGATCGCAAATACTCAGTCCAGGCCATAGCAAAGCCTAAGTAACATAATACAGACAGGCGCTCAGGGTGGCACCAGAACACGATAAACCCTCTGCAAATTTAATGGTAAGTTTTTATTTTTGCATAAAGTAATAATTTTTATAACAATATTGTTAGTAGCCATAGTTACTTTATTACCTTTAGAGAGTGGCTTAAAGGGGACAGAAGGGGAGGGCTTTACCTTTTTTATTTGTATGATTTGATTTTTTATTATTGCAATTAAAATAGGAATGAATTTTATAATTAGAAAAGGAAGAAAAAAACAACAAATACATCTTTGTGCTCTTCATAGGCTTTGGTTGAAATTAAAAAGGTCATCTGGGAGGCACATAAGTGTGTCCTGCCGTCTGTTCCCACCTAGGATTGTTTCACAGGGTGACTGCAGGTAGGAGACCTGAGGGGGGTAAGCCTAGTTTCTCTAAGAAGCACCTCATGGAACTGTATAGTCCAGGGCAAACTGAATTGCACAAGGCTGCATCAAGGGGATCCAGGGCCTGTCTCTTATCAGCCAGCAAGTCTCCTGGGCAATCGGGAGCAATTCTCAGCCCCCTCCTGTTAATGACGGACAGCAGCCCTAACTAGGGCTCTGTGCTCCAAGTTCAAGACTAGCGTAAGAATAGCACCAACTCTTCTCTCAGCACTCCTTTCAGAGGTCTCATTGGGTTACACCAGGGTCATGTGCCCAAATCTAAACCAATTACTATGGTTGGAGAATTGAACAAGGATCTGATTGGACATACCTTCGTTAAACATCTACAGAGAGATGATCCAGAGAGTCACGTTGACTGATGCAGAGGCTAAGGGGAGAAATGGGTGATTCCCTGAAGGAGAATGGGAGTCCAGTCGCAGATGAAGCATGAATGTGTTGGGCAGCAAAACAAGAGGTCCAATACAGCCAGACATAGTGGCAAATACCCTTAATCCTAGCAACCAGGGGGATGGAGAGTTCAAGGCCAGCCTGGGACAGATAGAAAGACTTTTATCAACATAGTCAAGTAAATCTCTGAAGAGATGGTTCAGTGGTTAAGAGCACCGGTTCTTACAGAGGAGCAGAGTTCAATTCTCAACACCCACACGGAGGTTCACAATGCTCTATAACTCCACTTCCAGGGGATTCAAAGGTCTCTTCTGACATCTGTGGACACCAAGCACAGATGTGGTATGTATTTATGCATGTGTGTGCATATATACATATAAGTTAGACACTCATACACATAAACTAAAATAAAAGAATCTTAAAAAGTAGCCAAACAAGGGCCAGCAATATGGTTCAACAAGTAAAGATGCCTGTCATTGTCACCAGCTCTGGCATCTGAATTTAATTCCCCAAACCCACATGGTAGAAGGAGAGAACCAACTCCTGCAAGTTATCCTCTGACCTACACACACACACACACACACACACACAAACACACTAAAATAAAATAAATAGCTATAATTTAAAGCAACAACAAAGGAAATGACACAGTTTTCCTTATGCTTAGGTTGGGAAGACATGCACACAGTTGTCTTTAGGGTATCGGGCCAATGACTTAGAATCAGAAAGTAACCAAGGAAAGGCTAAGTCAAAATGAAGGATGGAGTATACAGACCAGGTGTCAAGGGGCTCTACCTATGTCCTGGGGGAGCAGCAGTTTTGTGTCTGCCTTCCACTTACACAAGATAAAAGCCTTAAATCTCAAACACCCTTGAGTTCAGGCAGATAACACAAAGGAATACGGTAGATTCTGGCCCTAGCCCACATTGCATGACCCCTACGCAGCTATTTTTCTCTCACAATGTCATTGAATCCAGACTCCAAGTGTTTGCATGCATATGCATGTGAATCTCTCTGTTTTTAAACACCGAATGATTTTAAAACACACTACGTGAGCCAAAACAAACACACGTATCAATGAGTCAGAATTGGCTGTGTACCCTCTTCCCTCCAGTAGGTGACATCTGAAAGAACCGTATTGACATAGAGCAAGCGAAAAGCCCTTCTCCTTTTATAGAGCACTAAGTCTGTGCTCAGTCAACAATTGCCCAGTGATAGCCCTCCTGCCCAAAGTTCGGTTCTTTCATCTCCACTATCTAATTCAAATCTGAAAAACACCGAGTGGGCCATGAAAGGCAAGGAACATTACGGTGAGAACTGTACTTTCATTTCCTGGCGGGGGTGTGGTTAAATTCACAACTTTGGTGTGACTCTAACCGTTGGAGGGTTTTACATTCAATTTCCTGTTTCCTTTTCTTAATAAAGAAAGGAAAAGCAGGCCCCCGCAGCAGCAACTGTACTTAGAGTTCCATAGGAAGACACCACGGGGGTTCCGAGTTGGCCACAAGCAAATAGAAAACAAAAGCTGAAACCCAGCAAATAGCAATCCACGGAAGACCCAGGGGCCCCAGGGTTGCCTGTCGCTGTTTTCATCGGCCCAGGCAGCAGCAATTTTCCACCCTACCTCCATTAGACTTGTGGCCATCTCCCTGTTTCTGAGCTGCTGGAACCATTTGCCACAAAGGTTTAGAGTGTACTAATGGGGACAACAATAGTTGCAGGAGCTGCCCTGTTTCAGAGACTGCCCAACATTCTAGCACAACCCCTCCGAACTGCACTTCTGCTTTATACATGAGGGAACAAGAGGCATGGAGATGCTTTGATAATTTGTCCAACTGTCCTAGTTAGTTTTCCTTGTCAGCTGGACACAGCTTACAGTCATCTGACAGGAGAGCAATTGAGCAATTGGTTAGATAAGATTGGCTTGAGCCATATCTTCGGGGGACTATCTTGATTATTAATTGATGCAAGAGGGTCTAGATCAGTGTGGGTAATACCATTTCCTGTGCTTGTCCTCCTGGGCTGTGTTATGAAGCTAGCTGAGTATGATCCAACCAGTGAGCAACATTTATCTTTGGTTCTTGTCTCTGGGTTCCTGCCCTGAGTTCCCTCAGTGATGGACTGGAAGTGTTAGATGAATCAACCTTTTCTCAGACAAGTTGCTTTTTGTCAGAGTGTTTTATCATAGCAACAGAAAGGACACTAGAGCACAGACCTACTTTCAAATGATGGAGGTGGTATTTCATTGTTTTCTTTCACCATTGAATTTTGTTGGTGGTCATCTATTTGTTGGGGAGGCATTATAAAAAAGGTTATGGCCAGGGCTACTCAGAGAAACCTTTCTCAGAAAAAAAGAAAGAATTTTTTAAGTATGTGTGTGTGTGTGTGTGTGTGTGTGAGAGAGAGAGAGAGAGAGAGGGAGAGAGAGAGAGAGCACAGAAATGGCTTATCCATTAAGAGTACTGGCTGTTCTGGCTGTTCTTCCAGAGGACCTGGGTTCAATTCCCAGCACCAACATGGCAGTTTACAACTGCCTCCACCTCCAGGGCATC